AACGGCTTTCTAAATATATATTAGTTGAGATATATTATATATTATAATTATATTTTGACAGTATTCGTTGTTTCTGATTGGCGCAAAAAAATTTTGCCTAGTGCCGAATTCGCCCCTTGCATGAAAATTGGAAAACAATAAGCTTATCAGGCAAAAAGCTACCTACGTACCGAATTTTAAGCAAATCGGACCATAAATACGATTACTTCGAACAGATCGGTCCCTGGTCCACTTCTCGGACAAAATGGATCATATATGCTAATACATACTAAAAAGCTACCTACGTACCGAATTTTAAGCAAATCGGACCATAAATACGATTTTTTCGAATAGATCAGTCCCTGGTCCACTTCTCGGAAAAATGGACCATATATCCTAATATATGCTAAAAAACTACTTACGTACCGAATTTTAAGCAAATCGGATCATAAATGCGATTTTTTCGAATAGATCGGTCCCTGGTCCACTTCTCGGAAAAAATTGATCATATATGCTAATACATGCTAAAAAGCTACCTGCGCACCGAATTTTAAGCAAATCGGACCGTAAATTCGGCGTAACAACCCTGCAGGGAAAGCTACTAGTTGTGAACTAGAATCCTACCAGTTTGCGTTTCAGCCCAACTAGTTCACGTTCTATCCTTTTTTAATGTTAGCGACTGGTATTTTTAACATTGCGTTGTCCTATGAGATGTCAATTGTCAGGCTATGCATCAGCATCTACTAGTAGAGATACTAGTAGCATCATACCAGTTGATGAGATAGTCTGCCAATTCATCCCCCATGAAAAGCCTTAGTATGCCTTTTTGCTCGCGTTGCTCCAACAGTCGCAATGGCCGACAGAGCAAAGCACTCGCGTGGTATGCCTGAGGTACCAGGTTGAAGCCCGGCCGCAGGGAAAATTTTTTTATTTCATAATATTTCTTTTATTTATATTTTTTATTTAGGGTTTTTATCATTATTCTTAAATTTAATTAAAAAAAATATATAATTTTTAATTAAAAAAATATATATTTTTTTAATCCATTTATTTATTTTTTATGGCACAAGTACTTCTTCCCATATATTTGTTTCTTTTTTTTTGTAATGCAACTAGATTTTAAAGTTTGTTATTTATATTTAATTAAAAAAATATATATTTTTTTTAGTCTATTTATTTATTTTTTATGGCACAAGTACTTCTTCCCATATATTTGTTTCTTTTTTTATTGTAATGCAACTAGATTTTAAAGTTTGTTATTTATATTTAAATTGAAATAATTATTCCTACTTACATTGATCTAACTTTAATAATCTTAACCACCTCCAAGCGGCCTCGAACCTGCGATCCCAGAACCAGAACCAGTAGTCTTCACGTGACGCCACAGCCGACATTTGTAAGAAAAGCAATTAATTGCGTTTTATTTTAGGCTTTGGCAATTCAAAGGCAGATGTCGCTGAACGCTTAAGTTCTTCGAAAATGTCGAACTGGTATGCACATACTAGTTTATGAACTAGTATTTTTTCTAACTGGTTTGGGTTTTCACTGCAGGGAATGAGTGCGATCTTTTTAAGTGACCTAGTAAAGATCATATGCCCGATTGAATAATTCACGAAATTACTTATTTGTCTATATCAATAATTAAATTTTTCGACTATTTTAACAGAAAGTTGTGTTATTCAAATTTTTATCTTTATTTTATCTTCGTTTTAAACAGTATTTTGCGTTGAGGGGTCTGAGATATTTAAATATATATTTTTATCTGATCAGTAAGAAAGCTTTCTTCAACTTTTATTTCTTAGTGCACGATTTTTCTTTTAAGGAGCACATGAAACTAGCACCTCCACTTGTTTTAAGTCGTGACTGGAATAACACTATACGGCAAAATCCAATTTTTTCTGGGTATTGAACCAAACCATTTTTTTAAGAGATTGAATCATAAGTAAAAAAGTAATTTCTCCGTTTTTCGAAGTTAGCCTCCGAAATCGAGATATGGGCATTCGAAGTTCGAAATTGGACCTCTGGTAAAACATTATTTTTAATTATTGTATGTACCCTGTAGTCAAATGTACTAATTGTAAACTACCTCACAACTAGTATGAACCGCATACCCAACTAGGCAGCCAACTATCTTTTTTCCATGCAATCAACTGGTATTTTTAACATGAAGATGTCCTACGAGATGCCAATTGTCAGATTTCCGTCAGAAATATACTATTCTCATACTAGTTCAAAATAGACAGAAAAATACTAGTCCAATTATGGACCAAAACCACTACTTTGGGAATCAAAAAATAAAATGAATTCATGAATATACAATAAAAAACGTTTGATTAAGTACACTTTAATATATCACACATTTTTATTTAGCAGCCTTAGATTTGCAAATAACACTGGTTTACACCAAAAATGTTCTGTGGATGCCACTATCCAATTCCTGTGTAGAATTGCTCGAACATCGAGTTAATTTTTTTTCTCTGGATACGTTTTCGAGATATTTGCAATTTACCGTTATTCAGCTTAAAGCAGAAATTGGTTCCTTTTAATCACGTATATCTTACGAACCAACTTAAAAATCTTAATTTGAAATTACGCAAATGAAATTCTCTATAAACCGTGTATACATCACTTTCCGATAGGGCTCACAGTTTCTGAAAAATTAATTAATAATTCCAGCTTTTTTTATTTTTTAATGAAAAAATTAAAAAGAATTAAGCTTTAACAGAAGAAAATATTTAAAAAACAAGTAAGAAAGTCTAAGTTCGGGCAGAGCCGAACATTAAATACCCGGCGCAAGTATTAAATATATGTTTTTTCACCTTTCCGAAACCTTCCGCTAGATGGTAAGCCGGGGTGTATCAATTTTGAGTAAATTAGCGTCCTTCAATTTCGAAATATTGAAGTTTCAAGCATTCCCGAAATTTACCGTTACATGAAAAGCGGCCGTTATTTTAGTCCGAATTCAATAATTTTCAACGTTTTGCTTATATGTGGCAAGCACAATAACCACACAGAGTTTTGTACAAATTAGTAGAATGGTTACCGATATACATATATGTGATCATAAGTGGGCGGTGCCACGCCCATTTTCCAAAATTTTACCATAAACGTATTTCTTGGTAAAGAATTGTTGCAAGCATCAATTTTGAATAAATTAGCTTCAATATTTACTGATTTATCGAAGATTTTGTATTTCTCTAAATTACCGTTATATGGGATGTGGGCGTGGTTATCGTCCGATTTTAAAAAATTTCGGCGATTTTGTATGCTGTACCAAGGCCAACAACTGTGCCAAGTTTGGAAGAAATTGGTGCAGCGGTTACCAAGATATACAAATGTAACCATAAGTGGGCGTGGCTACGCCCATTTTCCAAAAGTTTATAATATTCTTATATTTTGTCTAAAAATTATTGTAAATATCAATTTTGAGTGAATTATCTTCAGTAGTTACTAAAATATCGCAGTTTTCGTATTTCTGGAAATTACCGTTATATGGGAAGTGGGCGTGGTTAAAGTCCGATTTCGCCCGTTTTCAATACCAACCTACCTTGGATTAAGGGAAACCTACGTACCAAGTTTCGTTGAGATATCTCAATTTTTGCTCGAGTTATCGTGTACATGGACGGACGGACAGACGGACAGACGGACAGACGGACGGACAGACAGACATGGCTTAATCGATTTCTTTTTTCATCCTGATCATTTATGTATACATTTGTCTATATCTATCTCGATTCGTTTTGGCTGTTACAAACAACCGTTATGTGAACAAAATTAATATACCCTTGTGCACAAGTACGCTCGGGTATAATAACAGGTTCTGTGCCGAATTTCTTTTCTGTTACAAAAAAAAATCAAGTTACTGATGAAGAAAATCGATGGATAAATTCCAAATAATGAGTGGTCAAATAAAAATGCGCAAGATTATTTGTATGAAAATTGAGCACGAAAGAATGTTACTCATACGCCGCGTACACCTAAGTATGTCGCTTTTGTGTTCATATTTCATACAAAAAATCTTTGCGCATTCTCACTTGACCCTTCATTATTTCTTATTTAAAATAATTCTTATTATAAAGTAAATTAAATAATTTGCACATTTCAGTCTATTATTTTTAAAATTATATAAAAGTAGTAATTAATGTTTAAAATCTGAGATTTGGATAAGAATAAAATAAATAAATAATTCAATCATTTATTAAATATGTATTCTTAATTTTTGTCTATAGTTTGGCTTGTTGATTCATAATAGAAATTAATCAAATAATCATATTAATCGTGTATTTAAAAAATGTCAAAAATAATGAAAAAATGATGTAATTAAAATTAATGATTTAATTAACACTCTTTTTAAGTAATTAATTATTAATCATTAGAAGGGTGGTAATATCGGTATTTGATCATTAAACGGTTATCCCAAAAAAACATGCTTTAGTTAATAATCATTATGAATATTAATAAGTATTTAACAGGTCTGGTATAATTGAATACGTACTCGTTTTAATGATTTACAATATAACCAAATTAACGTTATAGTATTTTTTGTACTTTATTTTATTAAACTCAAAAGTCAAGTAAAACAGGGCATGAATAAATCGTACTGTACTTGGTACAAGTCTGGTCTTTTTCGAAATAGTTCGGTTTCAGTCAGGAAATTCAAGTTGTAAACTAGTATTTTTCCTGATTAGATTAGGGTTTCACTGCAGGGTAAACACCGTTTAAATAAGAGCAAAGGCCGAACCTCTTCTATATTTTTACTTTTTAATTGTTTGCATACAATAATTAAAAAGGAATGTTTTACCCAAGGTTCAATTTCGAAGTTCGAGGGCCAATATCTCGATTTCGGAGGCTAACATCGAAAAACGGAGAAACTACTTTTTTAATTATTACTCAATTTCTTAAAAAAGTTGGTTTTGTCCAATACTTAGCCAAGTGCAGTACAGTGTAATAATTAAACTTTTCTATTGTGTATATGAAATCTACGTCAAATAATAAGTTGTTTAATGCTTTCTTTATTTTAGCTGCGCGTGCGAAAATTCTCGGCTCGACAGAGATTCACGTGAAGCGGGATAGTACAATAGCACTGGCCTGTTCGGTGAACATTCATGCTTCTTCCGTTTCGTGGTAAGATGCGTATAAGGAATTTATTATTATTGTGCATTGTTGGTACCCAGTTATATTTGTGACGGGTAAACTCATGCCACATGCATAAACACCTTTTCAACCCAAGCTGAAAGTCTACTCGGCTAGAATGTACATATAAGCCGTTCAGTGCTTACATCGATTAACTTCACTTTTAGAAAAATCTTAAATTTAAGTTTCAAAGCACTTGGTATAGTCAAAACTTTTTACTTTTATAATAACTTTATATAACATACAATAGTTCATAATATTAATAACAAAACTATTTATTTGATTTTATAATATAAATGGAATTTTAAAAAATAACGTACATTATTTGATCGCATCTCCCAATTTTTTGCTGATGGAGTTAATCAGGGTTGTTGCGAATATTATTCCAAAATAAAAGTCCTTTCCGGATAATAAACAAATGGCCTGTCGAAATTAAGCAAATTTGGTATCATATGAAAGAGGACTTAAATAGCTTTTAAACAGAAATAACGAACGACCTCTATTTATATTTTTTTTAATAATTTAATACTAAAGAAATGCATATACCTGACACAAAGTTTGTTCTATGGCAATTAATTAACATTTTTTGTTGAAATATTTTTCAATATGTGGCTTTCCTCGTTTAGACATTTCAGTTTTAAAGCTATTTAAGTCCTCTTTCATTTGCTACCAAACTTGTTTAATTTGGATAAGCGATTTGCTTATTATCCGAAAAAGGCTTTTATTTCGGAATAATATTCGCAACAACCCTGGAGTTAATCAATTTGTGCATTGGACGGCTCATATATATGTACACATCTGTGTTCGTGTGGAATAGTGCTTATGTTGAAAGGCTGGCTTTAGTATAATGCGGTATTCGCAGCATGCAATTACGAATGACTCACTGGCACCAACCGTTGAGAAACTTTTGGCAAATAAACGTTCAATAAATAGTTGTGATATTAGCAAGTCAAAATTCTTATTAAGTCTCACAAAAAATTCCTTGTCGTTTAAAGAATAAAGGGAATGCCGCATTAAACTAAAGCCAGCTTCCCGACATAACCTACTATTCCATATGAACACAGATATGTATGTATGTATACTTTTTTTCTATGTCGTACAATGGGGCCGCTTCATAGAGGGCGATGCTCAAAACTTATTTTTCGAAAGTGGGTATTTAAGATTAAAAATATACACCAGCAGTTATAACAAAGTACCAAATCTCATGTATAAACATTGGGTTCCTAACAACTGCCAGTTGCCGCGCACAACAACTCAAAGTTAACTTTTCAGTCAGATTTTTTTTCCGATATCGAAATCGGGTTCATGTGTGTTATTAAAGGGTGTTTTATAATGTTAGAGGTTGACATCAGGTTAGAAGGATCTATGTGTGTTGATTGTTTTCCGACTTTTCATCATTACAAATTTCATTGGTTTCTGAGATATATACTTGTAGTAAAATACATTTTTTCAGGGTGATTTTTTCAGTTTGGCTTTTCCCCAAAATGCGCAAGGTTCCTTCTCTGAGTATTTTTTAGTTATAACCGGAAGGCTTTATATATAAATAAACTTAAAAGATTTGCGCATTTTTGAGAAAAATATTTTTTAATGTGAACTTATTAATTTTTGTCAGGGACAGTCTTCCATTATTTTATCAAACATTTGTACCGCGTGGAGATGTTTTAAGAAAAATTTCAACTGAATGGAAGAGAATAGTAAATGCTGTCTGTCTTTATTCTTTCTTTCAATTCTGGTAACTTTTATTCCAGACGGAACCCATTCATCCATTAAAAATCGGGATTTGTGTAAAATATTATTTAAAAGCCCTTCTAAATTATGGCAAAGCAAGTTAAGCCATGTGGAAGAATATATTTCAAAAAAGAAAGAAGCTGCCACAATCTTTTGGGCAATTTCAAGAGTTGCGTTACTTTAAAATGGAATATATGCGGTAGACACAACACCAGATTTTATGAATACGAAAAAGTCTGTTTAGAAAAACTTGGAAACAATATCCAGTGGATCTAAAATAGATAATACAAAATTCAAGACACTGTGCTTTGATATTGCGGAGCTGTGTGACAGCCTTTATCCTGGCATCCAATGGCAACAGTGGACAAAATTTTAATGCATGGTGCCGAAATTATATTCTACTCAGTGAACAATTAAGTGCAGAGGTACATGAATCGCGGAATAAAGATTTTAAAGCATATCGTTAACGTTTTAGCCAAAAAAAACGTCTAATTATTTCTTCCGATCCTCTTATTACAAGTTTAAGGCCTTTACAAACAGTAAAAAAAGTTATTTGATCCGGTGACAGGTAACAAAATCAACGGAAACAAGATCAATTGACTTTATTTCCCACCCTGGTGCGAAATAAAGTTGGTAATAAATAAAAGTACATTGCATGAGTTCATATGGCAACATCACATCCTGACGCATAGACGGCGCTCTTTGCAAACCACTTTTACTTTCCACTTGTCAGCTACTTGTCAAACCAATGTCCAATCATGTAAATATGTTTTCGCCTTTTTGATTTTTTGGCCGTCTACGAACAAGCTGGACTTTTGTTGGGAAACATATAAAATACTCAATAAATCTAAAATTATACAGTCCATCATTTCGTTTTTCTGAGACATTTGTTGGTCCTTCAGACCGGATCGCCCGGCGAAAATATACTATAAAAATATTGGCGAATTTTTGAGCGTTTTTTTTGGTTTTTTTTTTGCAAAGTTGGCCGTACGGCTTACGAGTTTAATCTTCTGATAAAATGAATCGCCTGATCCAGCGATGCGGCTTTTGCAAGGGGCAAATAACTCGTGCGCATGCAACTGTGGCTGAAGAGGTAGAAGCGAGTACGTCAGTGGAAACCTTGGAGTATCGCTTAGCTAAGCTGAATGCAAATTACGAGCGATTTATTGAGCTCAGTGAACTTCTTTGCACATACAAGGGTGAACCTGATTACATCGATCCGGCCACAGATGTAGTGGAGTATGAGGAGAAACACTTTTATACGCATTCTGTACTTTCACAAGCGTTAAATCAGCTTCGAAAAGAAACAAAACCGTCTGCTGTTGATGTAACCGCTTCTGAAACATCAATAGAATGCCTTGTTTCCAGCCAAACTAAGTTTTTGGATAAACTACGTGGCTACAAGTAGCCACACGGAATTACACCTGGGAAAAATAAAGATTCCGACGTTCTCGGGAAACTATGAAGATTGGCGGCAATTTTGCGACTTGTTTTTGGGCTCGATAGATAAGTGTGCGAATCTGACCAATTGTCAAAAGTTTCACTATCTGAAATCTTACTTGGATGGTGAAGCATTGAATTTGGTCAAACATATTACCGTCACAGACGACAATTACAAGGAGGCGTGGGAGCGATTGGTGCAACGTTACGACAAGAAGCCGTTGATTGCCCGCTCATTTATAAGCAACTATCTAGCACTTCCTAGCGTAAGCGGATGGAGTGTCGTTGCGTTACGAAAATTGGTCTATGGGGCTGAGAGCATTCGCGGGTTGAGTGCGCTTAACTGCAACCAGCGTGACCCTTGGTTCATACATATTCTTCTAACGAAACTTGATACCGACACACGACAATTTTGGGCAGAAAGCAAGGAGTCTAGCAAAGAAGATGTTACAATTCATGACTACTTCAAATTTTTATTTTCTCGATGTGATGCACTGGAATCTTGTCAACCATCACGCCTTTCTTCGAGTGGACGACAAGCTGCGGCTCATCATGCTGTTCTTGATCAACAACGGACTAGAGCTCATTGCGTATATTGTCAACAGGTTCGTACAATTTCCTCGTGCAGCCAGTTTAAGTCAATGGACTTAAACTCTCGTCGATCGTTTGTGAAGCCAAACAAGCTTTGCTTTTAATTGCCTAAATCGTGCACATAGGGTCAAGAACTGCATCTCAAGTTTTACTTGCCGAATTTGCAGCGCTAAACATCACACCCTGGTTCATGGTGCGCAGCAGAAAACTCCCCATGACAACCCCACAGTTAAAGAGAACGCAGATTGCAGCGGAATTCTTCGGGGCTTAAGGCTACTCAACCTTCTTCAGCAGGTGTTATCCATCACACCTTGGGCAGGGTTCATCAGACCCACACGCAAACTCTTCTACGAACTATTCTCGCAAATGTGGTTGATGTTTGGGGCAATACAACTACTTGCCGACTACTTCTTGACACAGGGTCAATAATCACTTTGGCTACAGAGGCATTTATTCAGCGGATGGGAGCTCCGCGAACACACGCACGTATTTCAGTTGTGGCCTTGCGATTAACAGTGCTGACGTCACAAGGGGTGCTCCAACTTCTATCACGCACATCTAACCAATCTGTTGAAGACTCTACGCTAATCATGAGTGCACTAACGTCATCGATTCCAGCGCAAGAGATGAAAACCAGCTCATCCACCTGGAAGCAAGTATGTCAGTTGCCTTTAGCAGATCCGTCATTTGGTCTACCTGGTGCCATAAATGTCATCATTGGCTCGGATCAACTATGGAACCTGTACAATGGAGAACGCAAATTCTTTGGTAACGACTTTCCTATCGCTCCTAATACTGTTTTTGGTTGGGTTCGACACCTGCTTTGGCACATCACGCGCAATTAGACCTTGATGAACTAGTTCATTCTTTTATGGAGATGGACCGCGTTCTGCCAACCAAGGGTGTCATCGATGCAAGTGATCCCAACAACAAAGATGGAGTGAACATGGTTCAGTACGCATTCAAGAACAACGCTCCGCCGATTGGGACCACTTTACCACAAGCCCTTAGCCACCTTATTTCGCTGGAGCGCAAGCTGCTACGATTTCCGGTATTAAGGCAGAAATATTTTGACTTTTTGGATGATTACTTAAGCCGTGGGCATATGGAAGTGCTCACATCGAGCAGATAGTTGAGGACCCAGTTACCTGCATATATTTGGCTCATCACGCCATACTTAAGCCAGATAGCTCTACGACGAAATGCCGAGTGGTATTTGATGGCTCGGGCAA